GGTATGGGTCACTCCTCACTCGGTCCCCAACCTCGTCAAGCTCTCAGCTTTTCTCCCCTGAGCCAAATCTGGAGCTTTGCTTTGGAAAGCCACTGTGGTGGTTACCTTGTGGACGATTTGGAAGGAGCGCAACAGGATCTTCCAAGGCCTTGTTGCCCCCATCCACACGATCAAGGACTTGATCAGGGGCCTAGTCATCTTCTGGGCCGCTAATCATAGACATTTCAAAAGTCTGCCTTCCCATGACCTCCATCTCAACTGGACCAATGTCCTTTCATTCAAACCCAGGAAGGTTTCTCACTCAGCCCTATGGAGACCCCCCGACATTAGCAGCATCAAACTAAACTTTGATGGCTCATCGTTAGGAAATCCTGGCGCGACAGGAATAGGTGGAATCTTTCGCAATCATGAGGGTGTTTCCATCCTCTCCTTCGCCTCCTCTATTGGGACGTGAGATTCTACCGAGGCTGAGGCCCAAGCCCTGCTTGAAGGATTGAGGCTGTTCGACCCCTCCTGGGCGTCCCCCTCATCATCGAAGGGTACTCCAAAAATGTGATTTCTTGGGCTTCTCATGAGTCCCATCCACCTTGGAGACTATGGCACATCTTTGCTGAAATTTATGACGAACTAGCTAAACAAGGAGCATCATCAAGGCTATAGCAGATTCGAGTTGTCTTTTGGGTTTTGCTTGGTTGGGTTGTGGTTTTAGTTATCCCGGGTGTTTCTCACCCTTCTTTCTTTTGTTGTTTTATTAGTATTATGGGTGTTCTGTCTTTTTTGGTTTGTCACCTCTCTCGGTGACTTTTATCCTGGGCATTTTGTAAACTGTATGTGTTCTCTTTTCCATCAATGTTAACATTATCAAAAAAAAACCGTCTTTTCGACTAACCGGTCACACATCAACGAGGCTACTGACTCCTTGAGGTTATTCACCCTTTCCACCATCTAGTCCAGATCATAATCACCATAAACATGACCACATTTGCCACCATGACCAGCCACCACGATTGAACTAACACACAACTTTGGCTCTGATACCAAATGGGGCAGCTAAACTATGGAGACTGCAACTTAGTGAGAGAAACAATCAGGTTGGCTCAGAGTTGCCGAGACCCAAACCCGACCCGACCCGACTCGACTAGGTTTTACCCAGACCCAGGTTGGGCTCCAACTCATTTGAACCTAGACCCGGGTCTAGTAATTAAGAAGATAAAAAATAAAAAATAAAAACTATTTATATATTGTGTATTTTACATATTTATATGTTTTATACTAGGATGGGTTGGTTTGGGTCGGACTCGACCTGACCAGAGTCAGGTGCAAGTCATTTGGACCTAGACCCGGTTCAGGTTGACCCACCCGGTCGGGGGTTTGACCGACCTGATTTCCACCCTTACAATTTTGGCTTCCCATGGTTTATGTTACTAATGCACACATTTGTATGTGTCTTGTAATGTATGAGATTGCATTTTGAGTTGTAATGGTACATGCAGTGTTTGACGTAAGTTTTATGAGAATTGTAAGTTGCTGAATTTTTACATATGCACAAATTATTTGTATTTAAGCAAATCTCATTGTGTCCAAATGAATGTAAATCATGTTGGGGATGTTTAGAGGTGTTTTTTATCCTCTTTTTGTTGCTGTAAATCAGGGACTGGAGTGATTAAGCCTGCACATGTTGAAAATTGTCAAAAATAGGTTCCAGCCTCCATGGGCATGGGGGCTCTCTCGAGACCCAGGCAATAACATTTTTGGAATCCCCATTTTGGAGGCCAACGCAACTTTTTCATATTAGTGAGATAAACCGTGTAGATGATGACTCACACTGGCACGGAATCTTTTATGGCATGCCTGATGATTCTGTACTAACTGTTCATTTCATTACCCTATAGGAGCAATTTAACATTTATCACTTTATTTGAAGGTGGTGCTCGGTCCCTTGCGGTGTTTGATCATGATATAGGAAGTGCTTCTATTTTGCCTCTCCTACAAATCCTGAAATTCCACCTAAGTCCTTGTCATGGCCATGCAACCTTTGCAATCTTTCGAGGTCCGTCCGGGATCCTTCCGATTTTCATCCCGCCAAAAGATTATTCTTTCTTGATCGGCTCGGCAAGATGGTCGTTTTGATACTCATTTCGAGCCATGGATCGGACGTTTAGGCCACGATCACGAGATGTAAAAATCATGAGAAACGTGCGATCTTTGATTCAAGATCACGCCCGTTTCTCAGTGTTTTTTCATGATTTCTTCATTCTATTTTGACGAGCATGCCGTCATGAGCATTTGGCGATGAATGTGGCTCAATTTGGTGTCCGAACGATCATTTCCAAAATTTGGTATTTTTGCCGGGATTTGGTTTCCGGTGGCCGCCAAAAATTGCAGCAACTTCGTACTCATCGTGCATCGAATCTAATCGTCCATCACATGCAAGGTTTGGCTAAGATGAAGCGTTTGATCTCGTGCTCCTAATGGGTTTGGTTTCAGGCCATCTGATTCAAGCACCTCATTCATTATACATTCTCCTTTTTCTCCTATATATGCATAGTAATTTTCACTGCAACATGGAGAGCTTGGTCATGTGCACATGTTTTGCTCCATTTGCCGAGGTTCTCATTTGAAACTGAAGGAACTAAGCAAGCATTAGCAATTGCTTTTTGTAAAGCTGCATTTTCATGTTCTCTTGACATTCAAAGCAAGCCAGTGGCTTTGAAGAAGCCTCTTTTTTCCGGTTATTGCATCTCATTGTATATGTTGCCCTGATTATATGAAAAAGGTTTTGGAGAAGGATGAGGATGAAGGTCTTACTGTGTGGGTGCGTGGAGTGTTGTATGCTTTTGCTCATTTGTTCCAGCCTAGTCTTTCATCTAGCTCCAAGATAAAGTTGGCTGGTGAGTTTGACTGCTTTGCTTTAGTCTCAAATGGGCAATGAAGATTCATGTGTGTAGCATTTATACACACACACACATCCTAATTCTGAATGGTGATTTTAGAAATATCTAATTAAAAAAATTTCAAAACCTTTTGCCCTTATATTAATTAAAATACATGTGTCTTTTCCTTTCTATAAAACAAATGGAGAGCGCTTAATATAAAACTCTCTTCAAGATCTCAGTTTTCCAGATGTCTCCCATTAGGAGGATATCTATTGTCAAGAGACTCCAGCACCTAATGAGAACTTCCTTTGGTCAGGGGCACAAAGAAAACATAAGTTTCATCTAATAAAGTAGGACACCATTTGCAAATCCATTAGGTATGGATGATTGCACATTAGGTGCCTAAAGCAGATGAATAGGATCCTTTAGGGAAAATGGTGGTGGCACTTTGCAATGCAGGATGACCAACTTTGGAGGCTGGTTATTCAGTGAAGGTATGGCTGCGAAGGCTTAGGCTTTCTCTAGAGGTTGAACCAATGCAAGGGCCAGGGGGATTGAAAAAGTATCATCTCTGCATATTTGGCCCATTTCATATTCGGTTCATGGCAGAAACTAGAGATAATATTCAAATGTGGAGACATCAATGATTGTGAAAAAGCAGTTTTGAAGCCCAATTTCCTATCATCTTCCCAGTGGCAGCTGACCAAGGTTGTCATGTCTCTAATGTAAACAAAGTTCTCTTTAGGCATGTTGTTTGATTAGAGGTTTAGAACAGAACTATCCAATAATGAAATCCGAGACCTGATAACCCTGCTATAACCCCAAAATCCAAATTTCCATCCTCAGTCCTCACCATGGCAGGGACAAGATGGTGTAGGAGCCAGCTAAATCAGGGTTCTTTTTGGCAGAATGTCTTTCTATGAGCAGCTTTGGCCAAGTGATCTTCCCCTGCCATTGGCAGCGAGGTATGGCTCTCCCCAGCCCTTCCCAAAACCTAGGTTCTCAGTTGGTTATTGATTAGCAAAAACGCTCTCATGGTGCATCACATCCAGCATGGGAGAATACACTTCACTGACAGATACAAATGTATCATGTACAAAACAAAATTAGGAATCAATTGTACTAGTAGGATTTCTATTTGTGGATTGAGACTGAACTAGTGTTCGAATATTTTTTAGCCCACTGAATCTCTTGAGGTGTCTTCCCAACATGCATGGCATGAAGCCAATGCTATCGCGGATAGCCTCACCAAAGAGGGGCCTTCCCAAACAAATCTTGTAACCTTGGTCTAGAGGGCAGTCCCTTTTTGTTTCTTTTTTGTACAATTTTGTCTCTGTTCTTTGTTAATTAATTGTACAAGAGTTCTGGTTTTACACTTGTTATAAGTAATCCAAAAGAGTAAATAAACAAAAAAAAAGAAGTCCTTGCTTTCCTTGTGGAACTTGCATAATATCAACAATTGACTTTATCATTTGTCTGTTGCTCATGAAAATAGGAATGGATTTTGAAATAATATTAATTTCTGGAAGTATATCTTAGGTTTTGTAAAGAAATATTGATTTTACTTCTGGAAACAATCACAGAAAAAAAGCAGAGCAAAGCCCTCTAACATAGTTTGGAAGAAAAAAGATGCATTTTATCAGTTAGCAAAATGACATGAACTCCTTGAATATTTTGAGGCCCTCATTTCTAGTAGACAAGCATTAAAATAATTAGTTTGTGTATTTCCTTTATCGGTGGATGGAGGCCAGAATCTATGCAGTGATTATCTATGTGGCCAATAATTTCCAAAATAATTTTTTTTTTTTTTTTTTCAAAACAGCTTTTCCTAGATATATTTGACACTCAAGTTATTATTGATTTTGTTGTAAGTATCTATACTATCAAGACTCTTGTAGCTACTTTGTTAGCTGTTCAACTTCATATACCTCCTTATGAAGAGTATTTTCGTTCGCTACCTTTTGATATACCACAACATTTGTGTTGTTTTCTTGTCTTTCGAATTATTTTTATTTGAAAATGATATTCTTCATGAGCAATGTATGCTAGAATCATGTTATGTTCATATTTTGCCTCTTTCTTTTCTGCAATCTTAATCAAAGTCCTTTTATGGCGTATTTGCAGTGTGCTATTCATGACCCTTTCTTAGCTATTTTTAGGGGAGTGAAAAGGCAAAAGGATAAAGGAATGAAGAATTATTTAGAGATGTGCTAGTTGGAGAGTCTTATAGGCACTGGTCCAGTGCAAGCATCTGCTAGAATAGGAAGGATAAACTCACCTACGCAGCACTTGCTTTTCATGTGGTTTATGTCTTCTCGTTTTTTTTGCCTTGTAATTGTAGGTGTGATATTTTATGTTGTTCAGCATTGATAAATTAGGAGAGTTGCATATTTTATTTTATTTTATTCTATTTTTGTTAAAAATAATTGGGGATGTCATGGTGAAGACTCTCTCTCTCTCTCATGATTTAGGCCTCTGGACATTTGGCCATCTGCTATGGTACTCATTTTGAAAGTCTTTTATATTGTGAAATACACATTTGCTAACTTGCAAAAAAAAATGTAATCTGTATATGGTATCTAAACTTTTCTAATTTCTCTTCATTAATGGACGTTCCTGTCCTAAACAATCTGATCTCATGATGTAATGTGTAGACATGTGAAATGGATTGCTTGGGCAATGTAGCTGAAATGCATGATATAGTTTTTCAATTGGATTTACTGGCCTGAATGCTCCTATTCC